GGTGATAAATATGTGCTATAGGAAAAAGGAAATTTATTTGTCGTCTTCATTAATTTAGTGTTATATCACCAATTCATCAAGTTGTCTATCCCACTTACTAAGGCATATGTAGCTATTCAATGTGGACTTACTGCATCGGATGTAAAGTTGAGGCTGTAAATGCCACCGGTTGGTATTAGCGTAGCCATAAGTTTTTCCATTTTTCTTTGGAAGCTTGTTGATGAAAAAGTCTAGAGAAGCCCTATTCTTTTTTCCTTTCTTTCTTTCCTTTTTTTTTTTTTCATAAATGAAACAATTGTTAAGTTAGATTGCTTCTATGTTGTCACTTTGGATGATTGGTTTTTTGTGAGGTTAGTTCTGCAGATTCTGCTCCATATGACACACATGGTTGCTGATTTACATGTTATTTCATATTAATGCAAGAAAAACCTCTTCAACTTCAAATCAATGTCATCATAAAGCGCTAATACCCTAGCGAATTACATATTGGTACACACGTTATGAAACATGGTATACTTTCGTTCCAAAACTACAAATTTAGTGATTCATAGCGATGCCAAAAGTTTTGTCTAATGTATTTCTTTAAATGTTTTCTTAGGAGGAAAAAAAATCAAATATAATGAACTAAATTCTAAGATGAGTTAAGTTTTGATAAGACAAGACATAAAAAATGAGTTATAATGCTCGTAGAAATGTTTTGCTACATGGAAAAAAAAAAAAATACTTTTTATTGAATGCCTAATAGTTAAAAGAAAATTGCACTAGAAGTATTTTAAATTCTTAAGTGTAATATTTACAAATCTACCCCATCGTACCACATTTTAGAGCATGTGGCGTACCATGTTCCCGTTCCTGAAACTTGGGTTTTTTTTTTTTTTTTGTTGATAATAATGTAGTTGCAAGTGGTGCTGAAGTCAGGTTGTGCAAGATCATCCAGTGTTAATGACTGTATGACTAAGGTGACCGATGCATTATTGTTCACTCCCATGTTCTAAAGCTCATACGTCTCTGATCACTAATAATGTTTTTATTTTTATTCTGCAGGAGATGCTTGGAGCTGCGGGTTAGTAAAGATGTAATCTAGGTTCATATTACTGATTACTATTTTGTGTTGTAGTCTATAAGGCTTACAACTATCTATTCAAATATAATTCCAAGTGGAAACATATGTTTTAAAATTTTTTAGAACTTTAAATTGTTCCAGCCCATAAATTAATTAAAAACTTACCTTTGATGTATGTAAGATGATAGAAGAAGATTATCCCCTTGTAGAGCTTAAAATTTGAATGCTTCTTGAGCTGAGTGCTTTTCTTCAAGAGCACACTTGAATCTTGATGAAGCATCATTAATTCTTGATGAATTATTAAAGAATCTTTCATTTTGAATGCCTTGAAGCCTTCAACCCAATGTCCTCTAGGATGTTGTACGGCCAGAGGATTGTGGGATCCTTTTAGTTTAGAGACTTTCTCGAACCTCTTAATGTATCCAAATCCTTCTATGGTTTGGATTGGGACCTCTTAGGCTTCCCCAAATTCTAGCTCCAGTTGGATTCTTTCACCCCTATCTCTTAATAAGGATAAAGACAACCAATTAATTCCAATTAACTTCACTAAATAATTGCAATTGCACTTTAGGGCTCAATGACTTAATTGAGAATAATAATAGCCTATATGTGTCACAATACTATAATGTAAACTCCTCCAGCAACCAATGTTCATAAGTAGCAATTGGGGGTAAATAATTTTACTGTCTAACCAATGCATACTTGCATCTTATATTTCATGAAGTATTAGCTTCCATCTTGTAGTCACTTGTGACATATTACATTCTTATGAAATATTCATGAGAATAATTAGCTCTATATTTCGGTGACTAACTTGGGGAATTAACTGAAGGGGATGTTATGTTTTGCTATTGCATAAATTGTGGATTTCATCTTGGAAAAAAATGTTCTCACATCCCTAACATAGATCACCCATGATAAGCAATTGAAATAGGTTCTCTTTTGATCTACTCGTGTTCAAAGAAACATATGCTGTATCAAATGGTTTGTATTGTCCACCAGGTAGTGATTTCTAGATATGTTTTGGGATTAACTATAAAAATGTGATTCTTGGTGATAAATATGTGCTATAGGAAAAGGAAATTTATTTGTCATCTTCATTAATTTAGTGTTATATCACCAATTCATCAAGTTGTCTATCCCACTTACTAAGGCATATGTAGCTATTCAATGTGGACTTACTGCATCGGATGTAAAGTTGAGGCTGTAAATGCTACCAGTTGGTATTAGCGTAGCCATAAGTTTTTCCATTTTTCTTTGGAAGCTTGTTGATGAAAAAGTCTAGAGAAGCCCTATTCTTTTTTCCTTTCTTTCTTTCCTTTTTTTTTTTTTCATAAATGAAACAATTGTTAAGTTAGATTGCTTGTATGATGTCACTTTGGATGATTGATTTTTTGTGAGGTTAGTTCTGCAGATTCTGCTCCATATGACACACATGGTTGCGGATTTACATGTTATTTCATATTAATGCAAGAAAAACCTCTTCAACTTCAAACCAATGTCATCATAAAGCGCTAATACCCTAGCGAATTACATATTGGTACACACGTTACGAAACATCGTATACTTTCGTTCCAAAACTACAAATTTAGTGATCCAAAGCGATCCCAAAAGTTTTGTCTAATGTATTTCTTTAAATGTTTTCTTAGGAGGAAAAAAAATCAAATATAATGAACTAAATTTTAAGATGAGTTAAGTTTTGATAAGACAAGACATAAAAAATGAGTTATAATGCTCATAGAAATGTTTTGCTACATCAAAAAAAAAAAAAAAAAACTTTTTATTGAATGCCTAATTAAAAGAAAATTACACTAGAGGTATTTTAAATTCTTAAGTGTAATATCTACAAATCTACCCCATTGTACCATATTTTAGAGCATGTGGCGTACCATGTTCCCGTTCCCATTCCAGGTAACATAGCTTCAAATAGAGGTCCTTCAAAGTATGTTGCTTGCTGTGAGAGCACAATTGATGAACCTTGACTAATAGTTGATATATTGTTTGAAGTTTAAGTTTCTATGGATTCTAAAGATTCTAGGATACGAAGTACAAAGAATATTTGATACATAAATTAATTACAGGAATAAAAGTGAGGGGTTATGAAAATTCATTGCTTGGTTCACTTATCTTGAATTTGATATTTCACTAGCGGAGGCCTTTAACTTGATGGATGATATGACCTTTGATACATGCTAAACCTTAGTAGCAGGAATCGTTCAACTTGCTCACGATTCTTCCTCAAAAGCGCGATTCTGCGCTTCTGACTCAGATTCGTAGAAGAATCGCGAGTTTGATGCTAGAGAAACGCGAATCTGGTCGCGGATCTGTCTTCTTCTCTTCCTCTCGATCTGTTTGTCCCTCTTCTCTCGATCTCATGACTCGTCTTCTCTAGATCGATCGATCTCGTCTCCTCTCACCATCGATCGATCTCGTCTCGTCTCTCGATCTACTTTTCTTCTCTCTCGATCGCCTCCTTCTCTTCTCTCTCTCTCCTCTGTTTGAGTCTCTCTTCTCTCTTTCTTTTGTTTTTTTTTTGTAATTTTTTTTGTTTTTAATTCTGTTTTGTCTCTCTTCTCTCTTTCTTGATTATAATATAAATATTAAATGTATTTATAATTATTCTAATATATTTTCTATATATTTATTTTACCTTTATAAATATAAATAAATGTAATGGGTTATATATATATATTAAGTTAATATTAATTTTTATATCCACAAAATAAATAGATTTTAATTCTAAGTAAAAACACAAAATAAAATATAATTTATAACAAGTTATGATAGTTATAATATATTTCAAATATTAATTGGAGAAAAAAAAATTATATCTCACAATATATTTATATATATTATTTAAAATATATACATATTTTTTATATAATATATATAAACGCTCCCAACCTACGACTCTCTTAGGGGTCACGATTCCACGCTCCCGCTCCCGCTTCGTGCAACTAATTGCAAGACAAAATTGCCCGTGAAGGAGAGTATTAGATATCTCGATATACATTGTTGGACTCATTTCCTAAGAGCTTAGGCTTTTAGGAAAATTGGTAACTTAACATTAACGCCCTAACATAAGATTGAGTGCATAAGAACGATTGAGGAAATTTTTGAATCATGTAAAACCAAAATAGATCAAATAAAAGATACAACCTACTCATGGAAAAGATCTAAAATCCAAAAGAAATATTGAAGCTACAAAGAAAACTTTGCCTTGCGGAGATGGCTAGGTCAAACTTGAACACAACCCACTTGCAACTTGCTTGGGATGGTATAGTCGACTCTCAGAGCTGTTTGACCCTATGTGACTTTATTACTAGTTAAATGTAAAGAAGGCAATTGCAATTCGAGTGTATTACAATGGGAAATGCTAACCACCGCCCATTATGTAGTCAATAATGTTGGTATATGAGTAAAAAGTGTATTGAAATATGTGAAAAGTATATAGAGATGTATTGAAAGCATATTGCAACTAGAAGCCGTTGTCTCTCAATATGAGAGATGCATTTATGTGTGTCTCGTGAGCATGCAAATTTAGCTTCATTAAACATCTTTGGTAATATATATATATATATATATGTGTATATATATAAGAAAATAACAGCATGATCCATTTAGTGCATAGCTACACAAAGAAACCAAGCCAAGCCAAGCCTTAAGTCCTATCAAATGGGGTCGGCTATATGAATCCTTCTTCTCCACGCGGCTTTATCAAAGGCCATTTCATTAGTCAAATTAAGTAGATCTATATCTCTATTTACAACACTAGTCAACGTTAATCTAGACCTACCCAGTCCCCTAACACTTCCATTTACCGTCACTATATTGTATATCTTCACTACTGCCTCTGTTGATCTCCGTTGAATATGACCAAACCATCTCAATCGATTCTCTCTCAACTTATGTTCTATAGGTGTTACTCCTACCCATTCTCGAATACACTCATTCCTAATTCTGTCTTGTCTAGTCTTGTCAAACATCCACCTTAGCATCCTCATCTCAGCCACACTTATCTTATCTACATTTTGTTTCTTAGTTGCCCAACACTCCATCCCATACAATATCACTGGTCTAATACCCGTTCTATAGAACTTACATTTTAGTCTAGTGGGTATTCGTTTATCGCACAATATCCCAGATGCGCTTCTCCACTTACACCATCCCGTCTTAATCCTATGGGCCACATCCACATCAATCTCCCCTACTGTTGTGATAATCGACCTTAAATAACGAAAATTTTCACTCTTAAGCAGGTTTTGGTTCTCAATCTTCACTTCTCATCTGCTATTATTGTTACTGTTACTAAATTTACACTCCATGTACTCTGTCTTAGTTCTGTTTATCCGAAATCCTTTAGATTCATGTGCTTTTCTCCAAATTTCCAACTTTGTGTTAACTCCTCTAGTCTCATCCACTAGCACGATATCGTCTACAAAAAGTATACACCATAGCACGTCATCTTGAATATTTCTCGGCAACTCATTCATAACTGAAGCAAAAAGATAGGGACTTAAGGTTAATAATATGACTAAGATAAATGTAGTTAATCATATTCCAATCACAACTCAACATTTCTTTTCTTTTTTGCAGTCAACATGAAATTGTTTGGTTATCCCCACTTTTCATAAATTTGAGTTTTTTATTTTCCATTTATTTTTAGTAAACTTTTTAAAATATTTTAAGAATTTTTTTGTTTTTTAGATGCACCTAACCTAGATATACTTAAAAAGTATAATATTTATAAATAAAAAAAAATTAAAAATTCATCAAATACAAAAAAATAAAAGAATTACAAAAATAATTACAAAAATTCAATATATTTCCGTATTCTTGTGTATTTAAATTTATTGAATTTTTTAAATATTTTTTTCACAAATATTTTACTTTTTGGGTACATCTAAATTAGGTGCATCTAGAAAGTAAAAAAATTACTTCACATATTAAAAAATTCACTATTTCCCGCTTTGTTTGATTATTAGCTAGATAAACATTAAGATGATACATTAATAACTCACAAGTCATAGCTGGATTACTTACAGCAGGGTCATAAATATCTATCTCCTCATGAGCACAGTTCAGATCACCAGTCAGAATGACAGGCTTGGACTTTTCTAACTCCTGCATCATTCATATAACAGGCATAAGAATACAACCTTGGTCATAGAAAAATGTGCAGTAACTTCTGTTTTACATGTTGTAGTGAAGTTTGTGAATCATGATAAAGGAGAAACGGTCAAAGAAAATGCAACCATAACCACTCGCAAGAAAAAAAACATTACATCAGGTGTGGTTGATAAATGTTAACTGGAGAAATCAATTTCTAGTATTTAATTTCCAATTTTCATGCAAAATATGCCGACACTTTGTTCTAGTGATGATTTTCTTGAAAAATACTGGGTAAACTATCCAATTGTTGGAATAATGAATAATTCCGATTATATAGCACAAGAAGTTAAATAAGAAAATTCTCTACAATGGGCTAAAAAATAGCAACCCATGAAGAAAGAAATATAATGCAATTAGCTGCTTTGTGTGTAACAATGTAGTTTAGTAGAGAAGCAACAAAGAAAATTAGGCTTACTTTCATGTAATTGCTGAGAGATGGATCCCATTCTGTAACCCTGTATGACTAGTATCAAAGGTAGAGAAACGTCAACAAAGTTTAATATTCATTTTTTAATAAAAAATGTTTCCTCTCAAAACTCAATTATCTGAAAAAGCAAGTGTGTGCGCGCGCCACACTCTGAAGAATGGAAAACCAGGAAACATATTGAAAGGTGTGGGGGATTTACAGTGGGGTCAATGGCCCACTGGGTTTTCTGAAATTACTGTTTTGACCCTTTTTTTTCAAAAAAGTTTTTTTTTAAACTGAGAAATGTCAATTTGTCCCCATAAATTTTGATTCAAAGTGGGCAAGAACAATATTTACTCTCATCTATCATTTCTATTTCTCTATTCTTTCCAAATTTGAATTGTAATTTTATGAGAACCCATATTTAAATTTAGGGGTATTAATATCAATGTCATTCAGTACATTAATACACATAGATTTTGGGTTTAAAATTAGGACAAACTTGGACTCTATATGGCAGCTCTCCCCTCTTTCATCACCATGCAACCAGTGCTAAGTGGAGACTCAGATTCAATCATTCCAGACCTCAATTGTTGTTCTCTCTCTCTCTCTCTCTCTCTCTAGGGATGAATAACTCTATTGAGTCTACTCTCACTCTGTTCACCTTTGGTGATTTTAGTGCCACCTCAGCAACAACAATGCTTCTCAGAAGGCTCCCTCCATTATCCTACTCACCTCCAACTTCACACTACAACTGAGATTACCTCTTAGAAAGGATTTGTCCATACCTTACATCTTGGTTGCGAGCTAACCTTTTATTCTTGTGGCATTACCTACAAGCCTCACCTTGTGGCTAGCATGGAGTTATAAGTTGTGTTGTGTGTTCAACGGAGCATTTTTAGGGTTTGATGGGCAACTAAGGGGAACCTATGGTATGACGAATTATTAGTTTTGGTCCGTACACTCAGTCTTTGTACTGCTATGGCATTTATAGACCTTAATGCAGGCTGTTTGGGTTTAAAAATGATATTTACAGTGAATTATATTTCTTTGAATGTTTTCATTACATTTTCATGCTTCAAATGGTTTAAATTTTCTCTGAATCAGGTTAGTGTGAGAATTGGATCCCCTATTACAGGCTATGGCCAGGAAAGTAGGAATCGTGCTGCTCGCCAACGGATTCCAAATAGGATATGGACTGACGAAGATGGCGTTGAACATGTTGAGGTAACTCCTTATGGGCATCACAAAAATCATCGTTATTAGAAAATGACCCTTCCCTGATTATAAGATTCTAAATTTAGGCAACACAATTTTGTTATATACAAGTTAAATATTAGATAATGCCACCCAAAAAAAAAAAAACCCTACTGTTTTTTCTTTTTTCAAATTTTTTGAATTGTGTATATTGACAATGGGGCTGTTTAGTGCAACTTAAATGTGCTGTTTATAACTTCTTTTTTTAAATTTGAGAGTTTGTATTTGGTACAACTTTTGTAGCTTATGAGGCAAAAATAGTTTTAAAAAGGTGAAAAAAAACTAATTATCTGGAAGTTGGGGGAGAAGTGTTTTTTGCTTCTACTTTTTGATTATCAACTTTTAGCTTATAATAAGATGCATCAAACAGGCCCAATGTATGCCAACCCCCACCCCCTTGTTTTCCACTTCCAAGCCAACCGTGAATTTGGCAGAGAATAAACAGAGTGAATCCTGAAATTCCAAATTGCTCAACAATTTTACGTCCATCAAATTTTCATTATGTTGGATCAGATTTGTCAGATACCTACTTGATAAATTTTATAGAAAATGTTGAAAACATTATTATTGATTTTTTACAGCAAGATATGGTGTAAGGATTTCCATCTATGTCGATATGAATATGATCAATTGAATAAACAGGTTAATTTCCATATTCGGGGGCCCCGGGGAGCCGGAAATGTCTACACAGAGATGTTCAGAGACAAGGTGGACAAGCAATGGAAATTCACATATTTGATTGTAGAGATCAAATCGCCTTCCCCGGCAAAACTAATGCTCGAGTCCTACGTCCCAGCCTGAAGAAGGATATACAATCAGTTGCATCATCTATTTTCTCCAAAATCATATTTTTTCTCGAGGTTGAGTATATTTTGCTGAGTCCAAGTTTTGATTGCCCAGAGGTTGGAAAGGAAATTCTTAACTTCATTCTTACAGTTTGATACCAAAATATCTGTTGAATTCGTATATTGTTTGAAGGTGGTTCATTCCTTTTTTTGGGGTTTACTTGGAAGTGGTTGACCTGTTACAATCCGGTGGGCACAGTTACGCTGTGTTTGGTTGGGGGATTTGGGAAGGGAAATGGAAAGGGAAATGGAAATGAAAGGAAAAGGAGAAAGAATTAATAGAATTCCAAATCCCAACTATGTTTGGTTGTGTTGGTTATAAAATAGAATTGATGTCCTAAAAGGTATCCTATTTCTTTATTTATTTCTCACCCCCGTTCTTTTCCCATATATTTTTTATTATAACCAAACATAAATAGGATTACATTTCTCATTTCTTTTCCAAATCCCACCTCAAAAACTCCAACCAAACACAGCATTAGGGTTGATGCGATTGATGCAGGTTAATAATTTAGATATAAGAATGGTGTTGACATGCTGTGTTCACTTGACATGGAATATCAGTGATAGATTCATGCTTTTCAATTAAATTCTGTCGGATGTTAAATGAATTTGTCATTGGTTCCGATTTGCACATTCAAAATTCATGGTATGTGCCATGAACAAAGTTTTTGGAATGACTCATTTTTGCTTTCAGATTCAAATGTACTTAAAAGAATGATTTTTCAGTCTATCCATTGCCATACTGTGGTAGCCTAAGAATTCCTAATGTTTCCCTGTTTCCTAAGATACGGCGAGGCATGATTTATGCTGTGTTTGTTTCTGGGGAAAAAAATTGTCATACATTTTTTAGTTTTTTAGTATTTGATATGATAGAAAACATTTTCTATGATCAATGAAAATGAGTACATTTAGGCAAAAACTATTTTGCAAATGTAACGGGACATATTGATCTTACCAACGCCATTCCTTTGTGATATTGTTTTCTCTAAAGGAAAAGAAAATTAAAACAAAATTTTAATATTTTTTTAACAATTGATAAGAGGTGAATAGGGTTACAAGTGAGTGAGTCGAGTCAATAGGTAGATTGTTCAAGCTAAGGTTGAAAACTTAAATGGGTTTGAAAATGTGTTCAAATTTAATTTGTTTATATAACGAATCAATCTCAAATAAGTTTTAAATGAGTCAAACTCAAGTAATTTTATTTTTTATAGTGCATAAACTTTTCAAGTTGGAGTGGCTTGATTCATTTTTTTAAAATTTTTATAGAGTATTTTGAGCCAGCTTGATTCAATCTGCAGCACTAGAGGTGAATAGGAAAAGAAAGCTGCATCTGCAACAGTAATGTTGTGTTTGGTTAAGGAGTTTGAGGAGGGATTTAGAAAGAGAAATAGAAAAAGTAGGTGAAATGTGAAAAAAATATGCCTACATTTCACATAGTTTCACACACTTTTTTCCTTTCCAAATTCCCCAACCAAATACAACGTAAAACTCAAACTTAAACATCACACCTAGTGAGCGTGTCTCATCCACCAAGCCAACACGCAATGGTAGATGAAGAATCTGGTAACATATCTCCCTCCATTCTCAATTGCATGCATGTTTGGAGTTGTAGGTTTGTTGCGAATAAGATCCCATTCTTAAGCAACAAAGGGCCAATTTGGTTTACAACATATTAGATATTATAATTATGAGTAACATTTTTGGTTTTCTAGTTGGATCATATTGCAAAGCATTGCAATATTTGTTTAAATAAGATGTAAACTATTTTATAGTGTAATTATCTTTTTGCCCTCATTAAATATTTATAGTCATGATGACAATATTTAAAAAGATGAGAGATACTTAACTAAATTTCCAATTAAAAACATCCTCTAGCCAGCTTTATAAAATCTACTTATTTGGCAGCTTAACTATTTTACCATAAGCTACATTAAAAATGTTAACGAAAGTTTAAAAGTTAAAAATTACAACTTTCATACAAAAAAATCTCGTGCATCCTGGCAATCTATTTCAATTTTGGACACCCAATCTACAAACTCAATCAATCACGTCAGTTTAGGACCCAAATATTCTTTGTTTCAGACCATCTTTCTTTTTTCTTTTCTATTAAGATGATGGGTTGAGAATCATCTATCGGCACATCAACACAAATGTGTTGCCAAAACCAGGGTGGATGTGTTTAAAGAAAAAGAAAAAAACGAAAAGAAGATCCTGCACATAAATCATGTAGTAAAAACATACAAAAATACATCAGCCTCGAGAAAGGAAAGAAAAAAACTACTCAACAATAGGTTAAGGTCGAGACAAAGGCAAGCTCTCCATAATTAAAACTTTGAAGGCAATGAAACTACAATAATTCTTTAAAAAAACATCTATTTATCTTGGGCCCTTGGAGGAATCCTTAGTCCATTCCTTATATTTGCACCCACTTGCTTGATGTCTTCAACCTAAAAAATATGCAGCCCATGAGATTATTCTAGGGAAGGAAAAGAAATAGACAAGTAAACTCTAGGAAAATGCAATCTCAAATGGGCAATCATGATGGATTAAAGAAAGGTAAAGTCTGAGTATTAATTATATTTTTAGCAAGACTTGGAGGGCTGTTTCGTGTAAATAAAGCTAACGCTTGGGTCCAAAATAAACGCTTCAAGTTGACAAAAGGAAAACAGACAATGTCCATACCTACAAAACCTTTTTATACCCTTAGGCCATATTTGTTTGGACGGACTGGATTAGCATTCCCATGATTAATAGTCCTAGGATTACAAATTCGTTAGATTATGTATCCTATATTAACTAATAGTCAAGTTTAAAATAATCAGTCCGTACTTCAATTGTTTAACCAAATATCGGATTAATAATTTTATTAGACTATTAGTCCAATCCCAAGCTCATGTCCGCCCAAACAAACATGGCCTTAATTTCTTAATTTCCACTAACGGGCTAATCAATATGTTTCAGTTAGCAATAATATCTTTAATTTCTTTTTCATTTCTGTCATGGAGTTATCAATAATATTTTTATGTAATAATAAAAAAATAATAATAATAAAAAAAAGAGCCATTGAAGAAGCACCAAAAAAGGGGTGGCTTACATGCAAAATATAAAACATACAAAAACCACATCCCATGAGAAAGGACTCAGATGCTTAATCGTTTTACATTACCTGCAAAGTCCGTGAAAGAATCTAAAGAGGATTTTTCTTTCCTATACACCAACTAAACAAGGATCCCACTTCACTCAACAGCTCAACACGGTCACAAAATCAGCACTCCCTTTCATCCCAAAATGCACCAAATGAGGCAAGGAACAACCATTTTGCACACTCTCCTACCAAAATTCTCCTTGCTACCATTTACTGTTGATTTAGGCAACACCATAGGGTAAAAACAAAATGGACCACAACTCTTATATAATAGACAAGGCAATCCATGGTCTCCTCCATGCCTTTACACATGAAGCACTGATTAAAGAGTGCTTTTTCCCTCCAAGGTTAATTGTCAATCATCAAGATTCTCCCCATCCCATTATCCAAGCGAAAAACACCGCATCAGATGGAACCTAGGTTCCACTAGCACCTTTCTTCAAGAATCAAAAGGATTTGGCAGTCATCCAATGCCTCCTGATCCCTTTCCACAAACCAACCCCATGCAACCTCGACCTCTTATCATGCAACTATCCACGAGAACCTCACATTTACCTTCCACCCACCTTTTTACCATGGTTGCCTCTATCTGTTGTAGATTTTCATAACCACTCCCTAATGAAGCTTGATCGATAATCTTATAGATTCAAAATCAAGATTCTGAGCCCTCTATGTGGTGAAGGCCATTACATAACACAGAAACAAGGCTACTGACAATCAAATAATGAATGTAATAAAACAAGTTGCCACAGTCGAAAAACAATAAAGAAACATATAGTTAGATGAATCTAAAAAAGTAGTAATGAGCAGGAGTAGGCTTCTAAGATGGAAGTATAAGACAAAAAATGTGGTGGTGGTATATAAAGAGAAATGAAGGCCCATTGCTCAAAGAAGAACATTATGCTATAAGAAAACTCAGTAGAAAAAAAAAGTCACTGGTACCTCCAACCAATCAAGAGCTACAACAAATTTTACAACTAATTATTGATTGTAATTATACCTACATGTTTTGTTAATGCATTGAATATCTAACTGATAAGACCTTTGAAGCTTTAACAACATAAAAATTTCCAATAAAAGAAAAGAAAAAAGACTAGAAAAAACAAAAGACGAAGAAATGGTAATAGTTGATTTTTTTGAATTCATGATGCTAAGGCACTTGAATACCTTCTAGATACAATTTAGCCGATAACTAATAGTCATTGTTAGGTCTTCAATATTTGTGTAGAAGTTTTTAGGTACTTGTGGATTTATTAGTGAGCCTTATTTGGAGCTTATGAATTTTTTAACTTCACATTTGTAATGTCTTTCAAGGCCTATATGATCTGGCATCAACCATTACAATGCCCTAGCAGAAATTAAATGTTTTGACAAAATTTGTGGGATGTCAATTGATGGGCTATTGAAAGATGTTGGAAGGAGAAAGCATGGTTGGGTTAGCTGGGTTGTGGGAAATTGATTCGATCCCATTGGATTGTTGGATAATTGGATTAGTTTTGGGGACGACAATGAATTCTTTGTCATTTTCTACATTCTGATTGGTGACTCGAAAAGTTGAGAGGGTTTCAGTGTTTTTACTAAATCATAGGGAATTTTTCCTAAATTTATGAGTTTTAGTATGATTCGAATATTGATCTCAGAGAGAGAGAGAGGTCACATTTATAACAAACGTTATTAACCATGCTTAAGCCTTTGCTTAAAAACGTGATTCGAAATCATGTTGTATGCTATTGTTATTGAACAACAAATTCTTCACTAAATCATAGGGAATTTTTTTTCTGAATTTCTAAGTTTCAATATGACAGAGACTTCGAATGTTGATCACAAAGAGAGAGAGAGAGAGAGAGAGAGTTATTAACCACGCTTTTAAGCCTTTGCTTAAAAATTTGATTCCAAATCACATTGTCTGCTATTGTTTTTGAGCGATTTGAGGAAGAGAGGGGATTATACACTGGCCCATACAATTTACACCACGAATTGGGACCAAACAGAGCCACAATTCAACAATAACAGGGAAGTAATTAACAAACCCATGTACAAACCGGCCTCACCCACGTGCACTTGCAAAACAACATCACAAAATATGCATATACAACAAAACATGCACATACATCAACTGACAGATGCCTTTTTGTCTTCCCCATAACCCACGAGCTGTCCTTGAGCAGAACACCAGCATGCTTGCACACAGGAAACTTGGGCAGGAGATTTGCACCTTCATCAACGCGAGATTTGTGGGATGTCAATTGCCGGGGATTTTCAGATGTTTGAAGAAGGCGGCATAGTTGGGTTGTGAGAGATTGATTCGATGCATTGACTTGTTGGATTGGTTTTAGGGACAATGAACTCTCCGACATTTTCTATTTTTTGATTGGTGACTGGTAAAATTGAGACGGTTTTGGTGATTATTCTTTGCCATATATTAGGGAATTTTCTCTGAATTTTCGAGTTTCAATACGAGAGAAGCTTCAAATATTGATTGAAGAGAGAGAGGGAGAGAGATCACGTTTTTAACTCATGTTAACAGCCTTTGCTTAAACACGTAATTTGAAATTACATTGTCCACTATTGTTATTGAATGATTTTGAAGAAGAAAGGAGGAAGAGATTTGTGGGATGTCAATTGATGGGGATTGAGAGATGTTTGAAAGAGAAACCATGGTAGGGTTGAGAGAGAAGGTATAATTGGGTAGTGAGAGATTGATTCAATCGCATTGGGTTATTAGATTGATTTTGGTGATGATAACTAGTTCTCTGCCATTTTCAATTAGGCAAAATCCATTTTATCCCCTTGTGGTTTGGCCCTACACTAGAGCACTTAACCTCCCCATCGTTTAAAAATAGCCAAAGAGACCACATGTGGTTTTGAATTAAAAAACAATGCTAACTCCATTAACCACAAGGAACAAATGACCTTAAAACCCCTTTGCTATATTCTTATTCTCTATTTTCTATTATACACATTTTTTTTTACTTTAATCACATATCAACCAATTAAACTACATATTAATCCAAATACTCTATTTTATAACTTGCTTTTAACTTTTTAACATAATTTATAATTTTATTACATTTTTAATTGTACATATATATACATAGACATATATACACAATTCTACATATATAAACATATACAACAAAAAGTTTGATTAAACACTACAATGGAAAAAACTATGGTGAAGTACACTAGCAATAAGCCACCCATAAACCAAAACAACTAGTTCACCAGAATTAAGCCCAAACTGTACAGAGTGATTATTCTGGTAAATACAATATGATGGAAAACAAAAATGAAAATTTTGATACAACCCTAAAAATTCCAAACAAGACCCAGAACGCAAAAACCTTTGTCAAGAATTCAGAGTACCGGAGCTACAATTGTGGTTTTGGGCGCAGTCAGCCAAATCGTTCCAAGAAATTTAGCCTCCACTACCTACAACAAATATTTGTACGGAGGTTGGTTGTATAGAAACTAAGGTAGCGTTTGGTAGAGTTTTGTAAATGTGATTTGAGAGTATGAATTGTATTTTGAGTTTGTGTGTTGTGGAATTATGATTTGAGTGTAGAAAATTTGTTTGGTAAAGAGTTTTGAAAATAATTTTGAAAAGAGTTTTGATTTGAGTGGGGAATTGTTGATGTGACATTTGAAATTTGATACAAAAATTTACAACTCATACAACTCAAAATTATTTTAAAGCACATAAAAAATTTTAAAAATTTATATATGAAGGAGGAAAGCATGTGGTGGGGAATATGAGTGTGTGGAAAGAAGGAAAAAGAAAAAGTATGGGTTGTATGACAGCGGGAGAGTAGAATATTATAATAAACATATATATATATATATATATATTAAAATAAAAAGAAAGTGGAAGAAAGAGAGAAGAGGGTCAAGTCCCTCCTGTGTCTTTATTTATTTTTGTATATCCATCTTTGCAGATCACCACTTGACCACTTATTCCCTTCCTCTTCTAGCCGAGAGAGAGAGGGGAGACATGTGTATGATTCTGTTCTGTGTATCCATCTTTGCAGTGGCCACCAAACATGGCAGTCCTCGTCTCGCCTGTTCTGTGTATGATTCTGCAAAGCACCCATCCCTCCTTGAAGGAGTGTCGGGAGGAGAAGGCACCGTGGAGACGGTACGCATGCATGACCCACTTGGCCACCAAACGAGGGCGTGAACTGTGCAGCGTGCGGCGGTCGGCTGGGAGAAGAACGAGGTCGGCGTCGTCCCAAGAGGCGGGGGAGGGTGTGCCGGTGAGGAGGGACGGGACGAAGTCGATGCCGAAGAAGCCGAGGAGGTAGATGACGGAGGCGAGTGGCGAGATGACAGCGGCGAGCTCGGAGAGGGTGACGATGTGGAGAGGCATGGAGTTGCAGATCTTCTCACGCCAACGGGGATCTGGGGACTAGCAACCTAGTGGGCACAGGCTTCGTCGATAGCAGCGGAGACGGATGGTTTGGAGCGAAGAAAGTCTGCTTGTTCCGTAGGGATGGATTTTCCTGGAGCGAGTGAGTCTTCCAATTGGAGGATGTGAGTGGTCTTCTTGCGGAGGGCACAGAGGCTGTGCTTTGGCGAGGTATGTGTAAAAAAAATCTTAGCGGACTAGGTTGAGGTCCGGCGGACGGCTAAGGTGAGGTTGCCGCCCGTCGGTGAAGCGAAAAATACTAGGTGCTAAACCTGCTCTGATACCATGTAGAAATTTAATGTATAAAGAGAAATGATTGTATTATTGATTGTTGCATGTTTTGATATTATTACAATGATTCATGATTCCTATATATAGAAGAGGGTGAGTGTGTAATAGGTGAGGAGTAGGTGGAGAGTAAGTGAAGTAGGTGAGTGTGTAGTAGGTGGTAGTGGTAGGTGTGTAGTAGGTGGATTTTAACATAATATGTATGTTTTTTAATGGACTGTGATTGTATTATAATTGGTATCCACTATTTTTTGAATCTGTAAGCTATAGGCCCAATAAAGCCCATTGAACATTTTAACTGCAGCCCATGACCATATGCTAGGTCAAAATAAAATATATATAAAAAAAAGAAAGATACATAGAGCAAGTGGGGCAGCTCAGCTGTGTCATCTTCTATCTTCAATTACTGGGCTGATTTGTTCCTTCGACTTCTCTCTCGGTCTGTTTCGCTTCATCTTTTTTTCCGAAAGGTATGCCGTTGTCGTCGTCGTCGTTGTTGTTGTTGTTCTTCTTCTAGTCCACATCTGATTTTGAAAAAAATTATCTTTTTATTTATTTTTTTCCTTCGATCAGATCCATATCTTTAGATCTATGCCCAAATCTGCTTCAGATTTTTTTTTTGTTGCTTCGGGAGTTGTTTGATTTTCATCATTGATCCCTTCTTGGATAGAATCGCGTTTCTCTCCCAAAAAAATCGTGATTTTCCCTCTAAAGAATCGCGTTTCTTACACGATTTTGATTTGGGAACGCAAAATCGTGTTTCTTCCGGAAAATCCTTACCTACTGTAACGATTCCTGCTACTAAGATTCAATCGTACTGGATTGTTGGATTGGTTTTGGTGACTCGGGAAATTGAGAGGGTTTCAGTGATTATTCTTCGCTAAATCATATGGAATTTACTTTGAATTTCTGAGTTTCAATATAAGAGAGATTTCGAATATTGATGAGAGAGAGAGAGAGAGAGATATCACATTTTTAACTCTCGTTATTTGAAATCACATTGTATGTTGCTATCATTGAGTGGTTTGAGGATAAGGAGCAAGGGAGGGCGGGCGGGATTCGTGGGGTGTCAGTTGATGGGGATTGAGAGATGTTTGAAGGAGAGGGCATGGTTGGGTTGGGTTGGCTACGCGGGGTTGTGAGAGATTGATTCAATTGCATGGGTTATTGGACTGGTTTGGGGGATGACAATAAATTCTCCACCACTTTCTATTTTTCGATTGGTGACTTAGAAAATTGAGAGGGTTTCTGTGTTTATTCTTCGCAGATAATAGAAAATTTCTCTAAATTTATGAGTTCCAGTATCAGAGAGACTTCGATATTGATCAAAAAGAGAAAGATATCAGGTTTTTAAGCAAAAATCGTGACTTTGAATCTTTAAGCTCTATGAAACTTTGGTACCTTGTGCATCGTGAGGCTTCAGTAACTATTAGGCAGTGTAATAATATTTTTTTCTTTTTTTTTTTGATAAATAAGAATATTATTAAGAAACTAAAGTATTAAGGAGATGCAAAAGAATACAAAACGGCACCCCCAAGAAAAGAGCACCATACACAAAAACAAACAAAACTAAACAAATCAGCCAATCACATCATCTAAAAGGTCCAAAAAGGTAAACAAATCTGGATCCACCCGCCCAAACACCCAACCGCACAAAAAGGCAGTGTAATGATATGTTAAAATCTGATATTTACAAATCCACTTCAAAAATAAAATTAGAAAAGTATAGATCCTAAAACACTCATATGATCGCATCATTGAGTTACAACTCTAGTTTTTATTTTATTTTATTTTATTTTTAAACTTACTAACAATTTGGATCAATAAATGACAAAAAAATCCTCCGAGGTATATGTATCTCTCTCGCTCTCCCATACCCCGGACCCGACTCAACTTCTGTACCCTCCACAAACATCACATTTTGAAGACAACATTCAGACTACAAAAGGTATAATAATTGTAAGGGCTAATTTATCTTTTATCCCCTAAACTATCGCCATTTTTTCATTTTGTCCCTAACCTATCAATTTCATTTACTTTAGTCTCTAAAGTTTTTTTTTTTTTTTCCAGTTCATGTGGTCAAATTAAATACAATTTGTAGAAATCAATAAAAGACGATTATACAAATTCTAATTTGATGGGGGGAAAAAATCAAAACTTAAACAACATAAATCATACAATAAAATACTCATGTTTCTTCCAATTTTGAACAAATCATACCTCACAACTAATTTAATAGATATTTGCTTATATAATTTAAGTTGTCCTCCAAACCAAATTATAAAAAAAAAATTATCATTTTGACCATCAAATTAGACTTCAACTGTTAGTGATTTGCACAATCGTCTCTAATCGGACCACATGAACCAAATTTAGGAACTCAATATAGCAACACCATAGATGAAATTAGTACTTAAGTGATGAAATGAAAAAAATGATGATAATTTAGGGAAGAAAAGTGAAATTAACAGTAATTATAAATTTTATTTTTCTGAGTCCATGGAGTGATATTCAGTACCTAGTTTTACACCATATAGTTAATGTTCTTCTTAGGGTTTATACAGAATACATAGGTTAGGTTCCTCCAGAAATTGACTCGGAGAGAGAGAGAGAGAGGCGTACCGAGTGGATTCCAGAGGAATGGAGGAAGGCGACGGCGGCGGAGGCGGTGGCGCCGACGAAGAGAGAGGCGACGGAGAAGGCTTTCAAAGGCATGAAACGAGAGTCGCCGGAGAAGCCTTTGCGGTAGGATTTGATTCCCAGAGCCAATTGGGCGGTGCTTGCGGCGCTCCACCACCAGTACCCTCCTCCGCCACCTCCCACTCCTCCCCCAACTCCTATTTCTTCCATCTCCACGTTCTTCCCTTTTGTTTTTCACATTTCTTTGTTGTACTCTACGAAAGGCCTCGGGTGGGCTTTCTGGTGGTGTATGGGTCAGCCCTGTTTCATGGGCTTATTGTTTACAAAACATTTTTTATCTTTTCATTTTTTTTAAAATATATATATATAGCCGTTGGTATATATATGCGTGTATAATTCAAATAAGTAAAAATAAATAACTAGGAATTGTAAGGTTTTTATGCTCAAATCTCATTCTCTTCTTAACCTAATTAATTTTTTTTTTTTAATAGAAAAATTGACACTTGACATAAAGAAGAAGAAAGGTTTCAAGATGCTAACTAGTTTTTGTTAAAACCTCTACTTAGAAAAAAAAAAAAAACTAAAACCTCTAAAAAATTTAAAAATAAATATAAATAATTTAAAATTTCACTTAAAAAAAATTTAATTGAAAAAAATAATTTTTAATAGGGGTGAACATGATTCAGATTGATTTAATTTAGAAGTAAACTAGAACTAAATAACTATTACCCGTTCTTTGAAATTTAGAACCAAGCTGAACCATGAAAATCTTAAAACCAAATCAAACCATTAAAGTCTTGGAACCAAACCTAACCAAAACACTAAAATGTTGTTCGGTTCAGTTTGAAATTATGATTTTTATAACATTGTCATCATTCACAATATGATCACAAAATATAATTTACAACTTAAGAATTGTTTAGATGAATGTTTAAAATTAGTTTTACCACTATATAAATAACATACGTGTAAAAGTAGAGAGATGTAACTTATGTATATATATTTAATACTAATAAGATATTTGAATATTTATTGTACGGGGAGGAAATAATTCTCCTCGTATAATCCTGTTGACCTAGTCCACGCTCCTCCGTACGACGTCGCTTTGTCACCTGAAAACACAAACGTGAGCTAGCCGGCGGGTGTATGCCGGAAACATATATCGAAACAGTATAGTTTGGTTTCAAAATAGATTTGTAATTATAAAATTATGGACCCAACCATGAAGTATGATCTGTCTATCTTAAAAACAGTTTGTAATTTTTTTTTATATTTTTTGGCTCAATCCTAATTTTAAAGAGTTTTTAGTGGAATTTTTAAATTTTCATTGGATATTCTTTATCTTTTTCATTTTTAGAGCTTATTACATCGGCCTCTACAATTTCATCTAAAATTATATGGTGTTGGAAAATGTTTTGTTTATGTATTTTATGGCAATAGACGTCCCGCTTAACATATTTCTTTTCAGACCCCATCGTCAGGAGTAATATTGGAAAGGTTCCTTATCTTTTTAGACCCATTATATCTAACTAAATATTTATAGTATAATTTTTTTCTTTTTTCCTTTACAGATCATCAAGGCTTGATGGGGGGTTAGGACCCATCAGCCTTAAGATGGAGTCACCCTTGAGAGTACTGCCTTGGACTCTACTGAATTAAATGGCTTTCGTTGAAGGCTTCCAGAGTGAGGAAGGCTACGACGCCCCCAGTTCCGTTTTTTGCTAGTTTAAGCTTTTAAATTTTGAAGGTATATTGTTTGCAATTCTAACCTTGTTTGATTTATTTCTCTTTTTTTAAAATTGAGTTTTTTTTATTAAAAAAAAAAGTTTGGTTAAATTTTCACTGCCCTAGGGTGTACTCACAGAAATGACATACCAAACAAAGCTACAAATCAGCCAATTCACCTAGAACATGTTATGGGAACAGGTTAATGCATTAGTTTCCAGTTAATTCATACAAAGATGAGCTTCTCTACACACCAAAGTATGAGTACTTTCCTTCTAAATACTTGTACCAATAAATTCCCATGCATTTTCCTATTTAACTTATTATTGATAACAGACACCTAAAATATCATTCCCATGCATTTTCCTATTTTCCTATTTAATTTTCCAATAAACATTTGACTCGTTCCGACTTTTCAAACTGAATTACACCATGTTTCCCACACATTTCACTTCAATCACAACTCTATTTATCCTTTTTCTCTTTAACAGAACACAACAGCATTACAACATGCAAACAATTAGATGAACAATATGAGACAATGAACATTCAGAGAGGGAACAGTGGTAGATAGAAAGAGTATTTTAGATATTTGCCAACTGAAACAAATTCAATCTATAACAAGGAACAGAGAGAAGCAATTATATCAACATGATTAGATCTTCTACCTAATTGACTTTACAATTTCCAAAGCAGGCTACCACGTGAAATGAACCGTAGGAACCGACCTTTAAGATTAGTTCGCAATTATTCAACCTAGCTATTTCTCAATTCAATAGACGCTCAAAGAGTTTTGTTCTCCCCACACTGTTATAGACATTCACATTCATTAGCAGCACACCACTGGTGATTCTATTATCATGAGAGAGAAAAAAAATCTTGCTCTTTTTTTTCTCCTGGTCAACAATTTTTCTCATAAGCAACTTGCCCAAGGCTGGAAAAGGCTATTCCATAATACATCCAATGTTTAAAACCCAGCGAGTTCTCTAACGCATGAAACACATCATTGATCAACATTGAAAAGAGTGAAAAATGAAGTGCTCTAAATTCATCCTCTACCCAACTACAATCTACACCACATTAAAATGAAATAAATGGACTAAGAAGACTGAGGTGCAGGAGATATAAAAGTAGTATGAAGACGATAAGCAATTCTAAAGGTCCTCACTCCTCAACAATAGGAAGAGACAGTGGAGTTACTTCAGTGCTAATCAGATGACTTCCAACTAGAGTTCATAGCACAAAAACAGCCACCACAGAAAAATCTTTTAACAATTTATGAATGCCCATAGAAAGGCAAGTTGTTCATAGAAAGACCATTAACCCTATATTTACTTCTCAATAAAAAAGAAAATCCTTGTCAAATTTGATAATAAACCCTACATCAACCATGTGCTTCAAATGTATCTTTCAACAAGAAGAACTTCAGTTCAACATGGCCTTTCAAATGCAACCAAATCCAGATAGTATAGTACAGCCAGTTTTTCCAACAAAGAAGGGGTCAACAATCTAGACGGTCCTTGTCCTGCTACTCAATGCAGCCCGAATTCACAATATTGATCTACACCATATAAAAATAAGCCACTTTTCTAACTTTATAATATTGATCAGAATATTGGTCCTTGTCCTGGCACTTAATTTTCTGGGAATCCCAGAAACTTTATAATTCTCAAGTAAATGCAAACACAGGTTCATTTGTTACCAACTAATCTCCTAGGTTGCCGACAACGTACAACTTGGCATATGTAGTAAAAACCTCTCCTAGATTCCCCCATACATAAATAGATTTCCCCAAGCCATAAATGTCGGCATGTGTGCATACAACATTAAAGTACAAATGTCTCCTAGATTCCCAAAAATTAAATACAGGCGCGTGTACATACTAATTGTCGGCGCGTGTACATACACATCAAGCAAAAACAAAATAGAAACATCATCAAATCTCAGCTTACTTCCACGTCTAATAAATACGACATTGTCCACAACTTAGATAGCGTATATGGAAAGTATAATCCGTCAATACTAACTATAGACATCCATAACAAAAACCGGAAAAACTACTTCATTAATTACAATATTTTAAACCGCAGCAGATAATTAGTGGATAACTAAATCAAGCTGAAGATCTCATGCATTAAAATTTTCACATTATTTCTCAAATTCATAAGCAAACCAACGTCTCCTTCACAAAAATAGCTTTTTTAAGATAAACAAAGATGCTATCAAAACGAGCACTCTCAGCTGCGCACCCCAGCTATTTGCATTCCAACATGTTTTGTTGGGTGAATACATTCCAACATGTTATGCAATCAAGAAACAAGTCCTTAACAAAAACAAGATAAAGGTTTAAAAGAAAAGATGTATTATAAAAGCCATTAGATAATTCATATGTACATCTGCAACTTCTTATAGAAACTAAAAAACGACGAGCCTTACAAATCAATTTGTTGAGCTCATCGGAAAATAGATAAAAAGAAACACTAACAAGATACATTTATTCATTTCTCCTTCCATCTTTTCTGATTTTGGTCGGTAATACCTTTGAATGAGGTCACAAAATTTGGAAGTTTTTAGCCTTTAAACTTCCAGAAGACATTCGAAGGATCACAATCTGCATCTATTTTATCTAACCCTGCAAGCAACATAATCATATTCTCAAAACCCACAAAATTAAAAGATCAAACCGTCAAAGTTCAAAACTAAAATTCAAAGACTCTGTGTAATCTTAAACAGTTATATACCTTTAAAGGAGGGTCAGGGACTTTGTATGTATCAGGGGTTATTGAAGCCAACCACATACCAGGAAACAGATTCTGCAAAAATATATATTCCAAAAGCCAAATTAATCAGAAAAAAGAAAACACAAAATAAACTTGAAAAATAATCATAGAATGGTTAAATTCTTACATCGAGTTGTTTCTGAACAATCTTAGCTCTCTTCTTTGGCCTCCGAGCTGGTTTTGAACCAGTCAACGAAAAGATATCCTCTTCAATCTCACGGCGAGAAAGCGAAATTGAGAACCTCTTCTTCTTCTTCTTCTCACTCTTCTCTGTTGCCTCCGCTTCAGCAGCGCTTCGCAACAAACCACCAGACTCTTGTTGCAATTGAGCTTTGTTCTCCTGCGACGACGGTGAAATAGCTTTCGATACACCTCCATTCGCATTCGACAGATTGCGAATAGGCTTTCTCGGCCTCAAATTCCATGTCTTGGCCACCAATTCTTCCGCTTCTCCTTCTTCAGTAGCTGTTTTTCCTTCATTCTGAACATCTTCAGACTTGTTCTTTGTTCGGAGCCGAATACAGATCTTCGATCTGCCTTCTTTAGCTCCACTACCCTCAACATCCGACGCCTCCGCCGATTTCTTCTGCGATTTCTCGATTTTCTGATTCCGATTCTCGGATTCCGACTCGGAGGCCGAATAATCGCGCATCGGAGATTGTCGCGGCGGCGGAGATTGCAGGAGAGCCGAATCCAACGGCGGCGATGAGTCGGCGGGCCTGCGGCCGCGGTGGTGATTGTTTGTGTGGTTCTTGTTCCATTTCAAGTGCGGCAACGAGAAGTTGTGAAGAGGTTGAGACTTGGCTGGAACAGGTGAGGCCATTTTCCAATTCAGATTTCACAATCCGAATAACAAAAACACCATAAATCACTGAAATTTTGAAGAAAAAAGAGAGAATTTTCTAGAGAGAGATGCGAAGGTTTTTATCTTCTTACATCGGTTTTACAGAGATTTTCATTGATCAAAAAAACAGGTGAATTGTAGAGAGAGAAGCAGAAGGGATGAAGTGCTTCTTTGAAGAGGTGTATGTACAAGGTATATGTAGGCATATGTGTGTGTGTGTGTGTGTATATATATACAATCTTTGAAGAGGTGAAGCCTGAATGGAGACAATAAAAACCCTAAAAAGGACAGAATTGCAAAGGAAAGATTAATGTAGAGAGAGAGAGAGAGAGAGAGAGAGATGGCTTGAGGAAGAGGAGAAGTGAGAGAGAAGAGATGGGTTGGGATGGGGATTGGGATTATGAAAATGAGAAGAGTTAAATGTGAGGAGAGACAGCTCAGGCACTGGTATGAAGAGAGACGGGTTGTTCTATTTACATCCTTTTGTCTCTATTTTACATTTTTGACTTTTTACATTATTATTATTTTTTTAATAAGGGTAGAAAATTCTAATTTTCAAACTCTAAAGAGAGTTTTAATGATGTGATAAAAAAAAAAAATATAAAGAGGACAAAAATAAAAATAAAGAAATATTACAAATTGTGGACCTCACTTTTTGTCATATTATTAGGTCTCGTTTATTTTGGGAGATAGAATGGAGAGAATTGATAGTGAGTGGATTAATAGTGAGGAATTGTTAAATTATTTTTATATAAAATAATAAAACAAATAAAAAATATAAAAATTAAACATTAATATTTTAAAAAAAAATTCTAATATATAAAAAATAATAAATAATAAAAAAATTTCTAATCCCCTCACTATTTTTCTAATACTATCTCTACCTCCTCCTTACCAATCCCCCTTCCTCCTTCTTACTAGTCCCAAGGAATTACTAGTCCTCTCCCTATCTCTCAAAACAAACACTCCATTCTCAATCCCCTCCTCACTATTAAACTTAATCCCCTCCCTATAACCCCAAACAAACAGGGCCTTAGAGCTTTCTTTAAAATTTCAAAATTAAAACTCTCAATCTTTATTCTTATTTTTTTAATTTTCAAGTTACCAAAAAATATATAATTCACAAAAACAAAAATTTTAATTTACCAAAAAATAAAATTTGAGTTTTTAAAACTTATTTTTCAAAGCTAACTTGATAAAAATATATATATATCAAATTTTGATTTTATTAATTTGTTAAAAGTTATTTCTACTTTAAAAATGTGAAAAATCATAGTAAAATAAATTCTGAAAATTTAATAACGTGACACTTCCACAACATCTGTTGTCACTATTCCTCACATCGTCTGTTGTCACCATTCCTTCATTTTCTCCATTTCTCGCCACTATCTTTCTCCGCACCATCCACTATTATTGCCACTCATTTCTTCACTTTTCGCCATTCATCATTATCTTTCTACTGTTTTTGCGACCCCTTATTACCATCTCTCTATCACTTACTGAGAGGGAGATTTATGAGCTGGAATGAGCTATGGTAAGGTCGGGCAAAATGAGGGGCCGAACATGTTTAGGCCGTGATAGCTTGGGCAAGTCCAGATAAGGTTTTGCTCGGTTGAGACCCAGGACCATGTTGGGACCGAGCTACTTGGGCTTGTCTATGTAGAAAACTGAGCTACTTAAGTTGCTCGGCTGAGATGATTGCCTGCCATGCTGGGTTCCACGGTTCATGCGTTTAACGTGGCAGGAAGGCCTTCGGTTTGCTGGCTCGGCCTATCGTGAACTCGGCCTTGCCGGAATGCAACCGAGCTCGGTCGTTCTGGAGCTCGACGAGTGGAGCACTCGGGTACGCTGCGCAACGCGGTCGTGAAAGGCCGAGGTGATTCCGCCGGTCTGCCGGGCTCCGGTAATATAGCCTGACGGTTTGGTTAGGTGGTGATTGCAGGATTTGTGCTGACAAATAGAAAAGCAGCACCACGCGTCAAGAGACTAGTGGGAGCAAATTTGGGCACATAAAGTATATAAGCGTGTCTGTTCCCCCCATGCTGAGGGAACATCATTTTTTGGTGAGAACAACCTGAACACTCAACTCTCTCCTCTCTTTCTAGATCCCTGAGTGTGTGCTAACTTGACCGTCGGAGGGGTTTTCCGGCTACACACCGCCGGGTAGCTCACCACCGTTGTGTTCGCAGGTCGATTAGACAAACAAGGAGCTTGGTGGAAAGAAGTACGGGCTCTGCGGAATATTTGCTCCCCGTACAATTGGTGAGCCACCGGTTCCCGTGCCTTGCACATATTGTCCACTTTGGCATTCTGACCGCACGGTTTTGTTCCTCCCTCACTGGGGGAAAAGGCCTATGCAAGGTAAGAGGAGCCAGCCTGCTTAGGGAAAAGGCCTATACAAGGTAAGAGGAGCCAGCCTGCTTATAAGGTGGGAAAGTAGTCCCTCACAGACCGATGTGGGATTTTCCGCACATTAGCCCCCAGCCGCGCTGGCTCCAGTCACCCTGGAGGGAGTTCCCACAGACGACGCCAAATAAAGCCACCGGTCCCCGTGCCTTGCACATATCGTCCGCTTTGGCATTCTGACCGCACGGTTTTGTTCCTTCCCCACTGGGGGAAAAGGCCTATGCAAGGTAAGAGGAGCCAACCTGCTTATAAGGTGAGAAAATAGTCCCTCACAGACCGATGTGGGATTTTCCGCACACTTACCATTATTTCTTAATGCACTCTTGTCCCATTGTTATCTCCAATTTCAAAACCAAACTTCTCAAATTGCCAGTTTCAAACCAAACTTGTCAACACTTTTTGTTAAAATTTTATATTTGAAAGGATAATGAGAGAAAATAGACATGAAGATTTCGAGTGTAAACATAATGTGAGATGTTTAAAAAAAAAGGGATATAATGAGATAAATAGAAGCACCAAATATCATTGTTTTCATATGTTACCCTTCACGATTTGTTAATTCTACTCAAAATTTTATTTCTATAAATAATAGAAATTTTATGCAGTTAGAAAAAAAAAAAAAGTATTTAGAATTTGCGTGTATGATGTAGATTATACTAATGTGGTGTGGGTCACAATCAAAATAAATTTAATTTGTATATTTTAGTTTTGGTTATTTTTGTCACATTTTTTATTTTCTAGGTATATGCATTGTTGTAAAAGTGCAATTGGCCTAAAAAATTAGTTTAAGCAAATTGCCTCTTCAAAAATGTTAAAAAATATATTAACCTTGAAAAGATCATTAGAACAAATTATCAGTGAATTTAATTAAATTGTAACAATGTCCACTCTTAACTAATTGATAATGTAAGAGATAAATTGTACTTTCAAATATCTTCTCAGAAATATTTTGTTAAAAAAAAAAAACTTTTAAAGGCCAATTGCAATTTTTTATTTTCTTTTTTATAAAATAATCTGCAAAAAAAAAAATTAGAACTATTTTATCTGTAGAAAATAAAATTTAAATTTATGTCAAAAGTAGGTTCCAACAGATAGATACACAAATAGAATAGATAGGTCAAAAAATTGAACTGATAAAAATATAGGATCCAAATTTGAAGAGATAAGATCAAAAAATCAAACAGATAGTATCAAAATTTGAATAGATAGATTAAAAATAAACTTGGTTACTTTTAACAGATAGATCAAAATTTTAACAAAAAAGATTCAAAAAAAAAAAATATCAACAGATAGATTCAAAAAAATTTCAATAGATAGTCAAAAAAATTAAATAGATAGCTTAAGAGGTAAAATTAGAAATAAAATGTCCTCCAAAATAATAAAAAAATTTCTTACCAAACTATTTCACAAAGGGTGGATGTCTCATTAATAAAAAAACATTCACTGACCCTAATGCATTCGACAATTATTAGATTGGACTTTTCAACAATTTTCTTTTGATTAAAATATAAAAAAAATACTAAAAATAAATGAAAACTCATTTGAAAACAGTTTTTGAAAAACCAAACCAAATAGATTGGACTTTGGTGGACTAATTTTATTTTTATTTTTATAAAATTCCTCGTCTAGTAGTATTTAAAATTTAATTAATTTTTTTAAATAGTTATCAAACCAGCCCTCATTATATTTTTGAGCATCTTTGAAAAGTAAATTCACAAAATCTGTAAATAATTATAAAATATTTTTGATTGACTAACCCTTCAGTCAACCACTAAAGACACGCGAAATATTCATATGCATATGTGTGTAGGTCTTCCTCAAAGGTTGTAATTAATTTTATAAATTTTTTTATTTCCTTTGTTTTTTTCCAAGTAACATTTAATTTGAGTTTTCCTTTTCTCTTTTTTTTTTTTTTTTAAGCTTTTTGTTGTATCCATCATGCAATAAATTTATTTATATGAAACAAAAATAGGGTAGAAAGAGATTAGGTTTGTTAGAAAATTTTGGAAAGCATTTAATATTATTATCATTATTGTTATTTTTGTGTACACGATAAAACAGATATTAACGATTGAACACAAATTAATTATTCAAATACTAACCATTGAAAAAAACCCAATTCGATGGTGTTAATATTTGAACAATTAATTTTAGTTCAATTGTCAATATCCAAATAATTGATTGTTATTTGGTAATTGATATCCGAACAAATAATTGATATCTACAAAACGGCTCAATGTTGCACAAATTTCAATTATGTAAAGAACCTTGATCTATGATTGTGAAGTGTTGGTGACTCTTTGGCATTGGGTATTTTCCGACATGAAAAGGTTGGTCGTTTACATCAGTCTATCAATTGATTTTTCTCAAATCTCTAGATTGAAGTAAAGCATTGTAAAAATTACGTAACAACTCTTGAAAAGCGTAAAGCCATTCGACATCCAACGCTATTACCCATTCATTTGAGAGCGATCGTTGATTTTACGAGGCAGAAAGCCTTCTAATATTTCTTTATTTACGATTAAATAAATTAATCAAACATGCAATAATAGTTATTTTAATAGACAACGACTTTAACAAGAAAAATAGATATTTTGGAGACGAAAATCTCATGCCATTAAATTTATAAAAATTCATGTACGTTGAGTTGGCATGACAAAACATCAAATAAGCATTTTAGAATTAAGTGTTCAAAAAAATAAATAAGCAAATAAACATTTTAGAAAAATAAAAGAAAACCATTATATGTCTAACCAATAGTTAACACTTCCTACTTAAATTGGGAAGTACAATGAACACATTTAAGTCTTATAAATGCATATATGTAATATAAAAAAAAGAGTAATGCTAAAGACCCCAAATATTCTATAAAAAGTTTTATCAAATGTCTCACATGAGTGTAGGACCCACGCAATGTGAGTCCTATGCGGGTCCCACACCCATGTGAGACATTTGATAAAACTTTTGGTAGAATTTTTAGGGCCTCTAGCATTTTTGTAAAAGAAAGAGTAGA